CAACCACGTGAGCGATAATAGACTTGAGGATAGTGAATGATGAGTCAGCTGGTCGCTCGATTTTGAAACTGGATAGCTCTGTGTTTACACTGATTTCGGCCTATTTTTGGAGCTATGAAGAGTTCAGCTCAAGAGATGTTGCTTGGTCCAGTCATATTTCACGCTGCTAGCCACAGTCGTAAACACGCCGGAGGTGATATAGTGGCATTTGCCACGCTCACAAGCGCACGGTTCAAGGGTCTAATCCAGGATCGGCTTCCGCTTAGACCAGCTAAGCCCTTCTACCGTGCGAGAGCGGTGAATTGCTACTAGGAGCAGTGACTTATTACCGACTGCCCCAGAAAGTTATCAAATAGGCTGCATCACTTTCAATAGTCCACTACGATCCTGAGTGGTAGTAGAATGCGTGTCGCACCCAAAATGGATTGAGTGACAGCGAAAGCTGTCATTTTGTACTTATTATCCCCAACTCATGGGCGAATTTCCTTGTTACTTTGACTAATTTCCTTGACTTGTTATCTTTATTCTTTTATATTCATAGCTTTATTTGTTTTCTTTCCTTCTAACTGTGTTCCTGTGCAATGAGTTTGTTCTTCGTAACTATGCGGCGCACCTTCTGGTGTATTTGAATAAATTTCCGAGCCAGAAAAAAAAGTAAGGACAGCACGATGAATGCACTGACTTCTGGGAAAAAATATTCTTTTATTGCGAGAAATGCACTTTTTTGATTTGAGGGTCATTTTTGTTAATTTTCACCCCATAGAAAGACGGCTTTTGGAGAAAGCCTGAATATTGAGGAAGCGAAAGCAACCTAGATAATAATTTGGATATCCGGATGGAGCCATCCGATCGCCATTGCACTCGTGATTTTCTGGTTAGTGCAATCTTAATTATTATAAAATGTGCCCCATGAAGATAAGCACGATTTCAGGGTTTTTTTTCTTCAAGAAAACCTACCATATGGCACCTACGTCTTCGGAAACGTCATGCGCAATTCTCGATTCTGCTAGCTTCCTCGAAAGGCTTTGGTGACTCACGTTTTTTGAGGACAAGCTACAAAACACCTCTATTCTCTGCGCTTTTACAGTTTATCGAGTTGTGCGGAGCCGCTCCTCCGCTGTAACAAGTCCGAGTTCCTGAGTAGGCTGTGTCAAGTGGACACGATGAACATCATATCATTGGTTCTTTGCTTTCCATCGGGTCCGCGGTCCTCCTATTGTTCGTTTGACATCCTACGGAATTCTCGATAATCGCTCTTGTCCACTGAGTGTCATCAAATCGCGTTATGTGCGTGGCTTACCTGCTCGTCGAGCCGTGAAACATGCGTCCCGCTGGAAAATTCTGGTATCACAATAATGAGTTATGGGAAAAAGAGCTGCAGGATTCATACCTACATCTCACTAGTCAACTCTTTCCCGCGTCCCAGAATTCTTGTCACTATTTACCCTTTACTGCCCCAACCATCCAGAACTGAGACTTTTTTGACCGACTTTTTTATCCGCTAACTGATTTGGCCCCGGCGCCTGTAGCGCGGGCCAGGAGGTTTGGTGTTGAGCGGATGTGATTATTCATGTTCTGCTTGCTTAGGCCGTGTTCATGCTTTGCGTCAGCGTATGCCGGCGCACACCAGCGTACGGCAGCGTTTTGAGCGTACGCCATCGCTAGCGACTAGAAAATCATAGGTATGGATCTAGCGTACGCCAGCTTACGCTAGGTACTAAAAGTAAGGATAGGATGGATAGAAGTCAAGCGAACGCCAGCGTACAGCAGCGTTTTCGCAGTCAGTTCAAGCTCAATTTACTCACGAAAGCGCTATGCTGGAATACGCTGCCGTACGCTGGCCGGCGCAAAGTATGAACGTCACCCACATGGTTAGAGTTTATTTCTCTAAGGTATCAGGGCAGAAAGGACTACGGTTTCGAAGAGCTGGGTATGAAGCCGGATGTTTCTCGTCTTCTCCGCTACGGCAGCAAGCGAGAAATAGCTTGAAAATGTCCACAAAATTTTTATTTTCATGCAGGCTCGAATATCCATCTCTCTTCGTTCTCTTTTTTCATGAAGGAAGACAAGGAACACTGTTATAACTACGCTTACAATTGTTATCTCTGTTCTCTTTGTTGGACGAGCGAATTCCCTTTAGAGTGGTAATTACCATTTATCGTTGTCTAGTTTTTCCTGGACTTTCTACATATGAAATGGTAGAACATTCAATATCTTGGATTTCCCTCTGTTCCGCCACGCACTCAGTGTTCATTCAAACTGAACTACAGACGTTTGTTGAGAATTGAAACTGAATTTGGGAAATGGACATAAAGTGTGTTACATAAGTCCAATGCCCGGTTCTTCACCGTCAGAAGAACCTCTATTTCACTTGAAGAAAGATCTGGCAGGAGCCCTTAGTTCCGCTCCACTATTTGAACCACGTGCCGTACTTGGAGGGGTAGTCCTGTGCACAAGCATAGGCGACGTATCTATTTTGCGGCTCAAAATTCCCTACTAGCGGCTTTACCTGATCACAGTAAAGGCGATGCCACGTCCACTACCCTTTACCACACCCAGCGTACATTCCTGTTTCTTGATGTGCGATTGTTCCGCTGCTTGCGATTACTATTCCGAATGGTGAGAGGGAGATAAAGGAAAAGCAATTTAGAGCTCGTCCAAGCACAACTTTTCGTCGCTGTGCTCGTACAGGTCCTACCTGGTACACTTCGGACGGATTTCTCTGCTTTCTTCTTCATTACTGCGTTACTTACGGACTTTATAGTTTTGAAATCCCGCAACTCAAAATTTTTGATGCGAGACACACCTTTGAATGGAGTACGCACGATAGCTCAAGGCGGGTGGTTGTTGCCAATGTCACTGGTGCAAGGGCTGGCGAAGGGCGCTTGGCCACGCCCCATTCATCCCTTGCACCACTGACGTTGGTGATAACCGCCCGCCCTCAGCAGTCCTGCGCACTGCCTTTGATTGTTGTTGCTTTCTCCATGGATCCACTTCTATGTTCTTTATGTAGCTTGGCGCTTATGTTACACTGTAACCTATTAGGCATACGTTTGATTGTGTGCATTTGCATAGTGCTAAAAGGCTTCGTTTCAAGGTCAAACGCATTAGTTTGCTCCTTTCGCAACTGGCTGCACAGGCTGTCCATCTGGTGCTTACTCATCGCAGTGGTCATCAATGATTCACTAGGTTCTGAATCCTAGACAGGCTCTTTGGCACCGTTCCAGGGCAAATGATGACCATTCAAAGATCTGTCGTCTAGCTGACTCATCACGTTTTATGTGACTCACTGACCACTCTCTCAACCCAATGTGGGCGTGGTCGAACCGGACCGAATCGAATGCGTCATCACTAGGCGCTTTACATACCACCGCGTTCAGTTTTACGTTCTTTGTGGGATCGTCTTGAACTTATGGTCTCGCTCCTTCCTGTTCGGCTTCATTCGTACGGTTCAAGTCTTGCTGCCCACAATTATCGATTTTGCCTCGTGAAATCTTCGTTTTGTCGATTGTCAGTTACTACCTGATGTATAGACGCAGTTACCCAGTGAGAAGGTGAACTAGTTATACGCTGATTCACGCACAGTGTCACTGTGCCAGCTCGTGCTTCCTCCTTCGAAACCAATTTAGCATTACTCAGGCAGGGTGCTTTCATCCAAAGAAGAGATCAATTAATATTTGTCCAAATGTCAAAAGTCACAAAAAATTTGAGGGAGGAAAGTGAGTTATGATTGCAAAATTTCAAGGATACCTTTTGCTTTCTTGAGATTTAAACTGTCATATGTTTTCTTGACAGTACTCCTCGGCTAGGGCCTAAAAAGTCTAAGAAAAATTGGGAGAAACCCGTCTGTAGGGGTTGTTCGGCAATTTAATCATAAGATTGTATTGTTGAAGCTGGTGCCATCTATTGCATTGCTGACAGCTGTGCATCAGACTGATGATCACGTTTTTCACACAAAAATGGCGAATTTCTCCCGGTTTCGGCATGGCGAATGCTAGTGCCTGTAAGGTGCTGATTTACGCCGTTATTTTCCACTCGTTTTTCGAAAAGCAATAATCATTGGTGGAGAACCGGCCTAGTGCTCGCGCCGAAAAATCAGCTCCCCCCTCCAGCTGTAACGCCCCATCATCCGCAGCTAAGAAGAGGGTACAAACGCCCTTTTGCAGGTGTAGGGCAAGGGCTAGATAATAAAGTGTCCTGACGCAAAGCAATATGTCAAGCTTCATTATCGGTGCCTTGCATTTTCGTACAAACCATATTGGGACCGGCGTCGAAAAGTGGATTGGTGATCAGGCCGACTGAATCCGTGCTTAAGGCACCAACCACACTATATCACGAAGATGGGTGGGCGTGTCTGTGGTTAGTTCCGGGTTTTCGAGATAGATTCAACTTCTTAGGACTTTTCAACTTTCCATGTCTTTTTGAGCCCCAAAAACCAATTTCCAGATTTGCTCTATTGCGAAAATGCTCCTGAATCCATTGCCTACTGCTGGTTTCAGATCATTGTGAGATCTCCATCGTAAAAACGCAAACAAAACCGACGACTGCAACAAAACGAACGTACCACGGGGACCACGTTATCTGTTCGTGTTGGTTTTGACTCAGATCCTCAACGCTGACTCACGTACTTTGAGTCACTGAATCACTTCTACCGTAGACCTTTTCATGACGGGATTTGTGGCTTCCCACAGTTCACAATTATAGTCCAAGTCGTGTAATCTGAATCATTTTTTTTGTTTGCTGATTCCTAGATCCATGTTTGTCACAGAATGCTGTTGGCAGCATTACTGGGAAGCATTTCAGTATAAATGAGTTCTGACTGCTGCACAGGTTCTTTGCCTTCCTGAAGCCTACGGTACTTGTCTCTACCACGATTTCTTTCCTTACATTTCTCATATGGGAGTGCCGATGAAAGCTAGAAAAATAAAAGGAGGAATAATTTCATCATCCTGAACTGCTTATCTTTTCAACAGATAATTGTAGTTTAGGCCTAGAGACAAATGATCGGAGTGGAACGGAGCTCTGGCGAAGATCCGCCTGTCACTGTGATGAAAAAGGCAGGAAGGGGAATGCCTGGTGACATCGTTTGCTGGCGCCGCCCACCGGACAGTCCAGAACGGGTCTTTCAGTGCATTTGAAAAGAAACAAAAAATTTGTTATGTGGCTTGATATGGTCATAGTTGACCAGGGGAAGATTTTGCTCGACCAGTTTTTAATGCCTGCTGGCCACCTTCACTCGATACCCCAGAGATTGGGTGGGCGCGTACTTTGCTCGAATATGGCATTGCTGCGTCTCTGGTAGGATATTCGGGACAATTGTAGTCATGTCTTTGTTCAGCACAAGATGGGATAAACGTTGTTTCGAATAGAAACATTATTGAGAAACACATCTTACGCCGTACTCAAATGCAGTATGCAGCCACGCCCATTTCATCTCCGGGATAAGGAGTGGCAGAGTGGTCGTTGCCTTTAGAATACCGAACCGGGCAATCATGTTGGTGTTAGCTTTGTATAACACTGTTTATAGGGGGCACGAAAATTCGTGTGGCTGCGTTCGGTATGGAAAATTGCTTGAATTAGAAGCATATTTATCTTTTAATTGGGAGTGGATGAAATAATTGAGTACAGACTTACCTCCAAAGGTCCCTTGGCTGTTGAGAGACATTTAATAATTGAAAAATTTTATATCTGATGGAACGTCACAAAGGATTAACGTTGAAGTGTTTTTTAAGCAATGATAACGGCTAGTGCAGTAGTTTTTTCTTGGGAACCTGCTGCCGTAATAAATTCTTTCGTGAAACGTCAGCAATTCGTGACCATGGCTGCTTTTTTGTCCATGTAGCTCAGAAGGCTCGTTTAAAGTGACCCGTTCGTGATGTGAGTCACCATCGGGGCGGCCTTCACCTTTGACAAAAACTATATGTGATGATTCATTTGTACTTCTTTGGTCAATGTGTCAGCCTGGACATAGGTCATGGTGTAATCCACTTAAGTTGGAGTTTTTCTAGATTGTTTCATAGTTAAATAGCTGTTCGTGATGCCTTTGTTTCATTTTCACGTCCCCTTGATTAGCTTGGCGATGTGTTGCCGACAGTCCTTCTACCAGTTTAATCAACTTGAGCGCATTTTGTTTTGAATAGTGTGTGAGGCTGTTTTTGGGCCCCTAAGTTACGTATAAAAACTTTGCCCTTTAAGTCGCCAGTACTCGCTGCATGACATCAACAACATTAATTTTTCACTAGTTCAAATTTTTAAGGTCGACCACGTACGTCTAGCGAACCAGTTACGTGCATCGGCTTGTGGCGGTGATTTTAGCAACAATATGGTTGACGTTGTGCTATATACGGACGAGCAGCCAGAGAAGCAATCGGCTGCACGATTCTGCTCAAAGAGGAGGTAAACTGCTTGATTTTGATTGGCTTCCACAGGGCGTCGAGGATGT